CTAACGAATAGTATAAGATTATTATTAGATCCACAATATTATTGTTTAAACACAGACATATCCATTCTATTCCCTTCGGCACCAACATCGCATGTAATTTATCAAAGTCATGGCACAACGTCGTAGCGTTAATTACCCCGTGTCGGATCACTCATCGACATCGATGTGTCGATGTGTCGATGTGTCGATACGGCCGCCATCTTTAAAATAGGCTCTAAGATAAATGGAAAAAGTGTTTTAAAACGGCATTTTATTTCCCCAAAGACTTGGGTGTATATATTGTTATGAAAATGAATTCGTCTTTTTGGGGGGAACCTTTAAAGAAGATTCGTTTTTTTGGGAAGATATATTATTATTTTTTGGGAAGCTATAAGTGGCCACTGCTGACCAACCGCCGCTTCTAATACGGAGAAGGTTTGAGCATTAATCACCACGCTTGCTCCATACGGGTTGGCGATTTCAAACTTATAATTAGAAATTATAAGCCCAGGTTTCCTCACGATGTTTTCCTTTACCGTTTGTCAGTGGTGTCTAGATAATTAGAAAGTACATATAACTCGGAAAAAGTGACATTAGTACTCGCTGTTTGTAGGTTTCGAACCCAAATTCTCATACATGAGAGGCAGGCGTCTTAAGCCTCCAGACCACTATAACCAAACTACCCAAGGCGGTCACCATCAACACCTATAAGTGTCATTGGATCCTCTAAATAGATCTAAACCTAGTTTTTAGTCAAATTTCCGTGGTGCTTGGCGACTGGGCTTCACCCAGTTGTACAGTCTCTTTTTTGTGCCTTTAGGCTTAATTCATTGTCTCCTGAAGAGGAACGATCGTTGTTTTTTCTTCTCCTCTTATAATATCTTCTAATTCACTTCGTTGCGGGAACCAAGTTGCTCATGTCCCTGGGACGCGCCGGACTTCAGTGTCCCGGTGTTTTCATGGTTGTATCTACTGTAGATCCTGGCTTACAAGAGTTGCAGCGGTTTTGGGAGGTTGTGGCGGGCTTGTCCCAAAAAATACAATGTCTGTTGCGGCACATCCCTAGGGACCTGGAACCCTCACAGTCCAACGCCTTTCAAGGCACATCCCTGAGCGGAAAAAATTTAGAATCTCTTTCTGCATGTCCTGGGTACGTTTACCTCTATAAACACAGATCGGTAAACAAATTGTTTGAATCGACTTCAGAAAGAAGGCTCGGTCTTCCAATGCAGTTCAGGTTAGCAATTGTTAGCTGTGGAATAATTAAATAAGACTCCCTCATCAGCCGAGTGGTCGCAAGTGCGACTGCCGGGCAAGTGGTCTCGGGTTCGTTTCCCGGGTCGAGCAAAGCATTACTGGGGTTTTTTAAAATCTCAGTAGTAGCACGACGTTTGGAAATGTGCCCGGTATATGGCAATAGGCTCCCCCCCTATTACAAGGGCCTTGTAACATAAATACTATAGTGAAAAGTGGGTGTTACATTGTATCGTGGTATTAAGTGTCGTAATGTGCACCTCTGTCTACCCCTTCGGAAATGAAAGGCGTGATGTTATGTTATGCAATAATTAAATTTCTTTATATTTTCGTACTAAAGAATATACTTAATTATCTTTGAACAAAAATTAAAAGGTTCGGAAGAGAGAATCTGAACACGTACAGACGTTAGACTTCGGCGAAATAAAGTATATCGATCTGTCAAACATCTTTAATAGATTTTCAACTATAAAGACAGAAGGATAAAGTTCAGAATGTATATTACAGATGAGGGTAACTTGAAGTGCTGTTGTCTGTACAAGCCCTAGTAATCTTTGAACACAGCACATTAACTCTTTAAAAGAAATATCACAATATTCATTCTTCAAATCGCGTGTCTTTCATTATTATTACCGTTTGACAAATATAAAATCCAATGTACTGTGAATTAGAACAGTTTTCTGATAAACTGCCTTTTTTTCTGAAAGTGATTGTTCGACCGGGTTCGAGATTGAAATTGTGCCCGGTATATGGCAATAGGCTCACCCCCTATTACATGGGACTCATGACATAAATAGTGAATAGTGGGTGTTACATTCTACAGTGGCATTAAGTGCGTAATGTGTATCTCTGCCTACACCTTCAGGGATAATAGGCGTGATGTTATATAAATATTATGACTGTTAGTTTAAATTTCCAGGTGTAGCATTAATTTTTAGTCGGTAAGAGTCTGATACTCTCTCTCGCCTCACCCAGGCGGGAGAAGTCATTGGACGATTTTCCCCACTCAAAAAAAAAGGTGTAGCATCAATAGCCTGTGACAATGTACTAGTAAACTAAGGCCATCCTCTATAAAAGAGGACCTTTGCCATAATTTCCACGTCTGCTAGACACGTAGGAAATCGCAGTTTAACTCGTCGAGTACCGTCATTATGGACACAATTATAGAACAATAGGTTGCGGTCACCGGTGACCGCTTGGTGCTTGACAGTTTAAAAGGATCAGTTTTTATCAAAGAGAACTTCTGCCCGGTCTCTGTATAAGGATGCGTCCACATCTGGCGAATGCTTCGCGAATAGGAAACAGGTGTGCAGGTAAAATTACTATTTATATGAGTTGAGCATCAAACCATTGCCGTGACTGCAGGCGCACAGCTCGCGGGCAGCCAGCAAACGGTTACGAGCGCCACATTTGCCAGATGTGAATTTTTATGACACCCACGAGAAGACTAGGGGTGGTGTCTGGTGACAAGTATATTCTTAACTGCTCTCAGCAGTTCATGTTAGCAAAAATATAGAAGTACAGAATAATGCTAAGTACCTATTTGGTCCTGCTAGATATAGTCTTACTTCTGTTAACATTTATGTCCCCGCTAGCTTTAGCCAGCTGTTTTGGTCTGCGGTCCTACCAGACCAAGCAGACCAAAACAGCCAGTAGCGGATAATAACTAGCCTATATGTTATTCCAGATAATAATCTATCCCGTCTTCTAATTTCATCCCGATCTCTTCAGCCGTTTTGACGTGAAAGTGTAACAAACGAAATAACAAACTATCGCATTTACTATAATAGTAGAATAGGATACTTCACGACGGTCTTAGCCTAAATTAAAGTTGAGACCTTTTCATTTCTCTCCAATTAAAATATTCTTATCTTATTTTCTTAAACTGTATTGTGTATTTAGTCTGCGATGGAAATAACCCACAAAAGCTTGGTTTGCTGTTCCGTCAGATTAGGGAGGTCGCTTGCAATTGGCAGCTCTCATTAATTTGATGGATCGAAGGCGGCGTTGTTTACGCGCCAAATTAAGTTTGTCTTTTAAAGATGGCGTCCATAGCGATTTTGGTCTCAGTGAATTTATAAATTTGTTTTTCGGGGTATTGTTTTTAAGAAAGTGATTGATATTGTGAGAACCTTGTTGGAAGAGCGGTTAGAAGCGTTACTGTGGTGTCTTGAATTTAAATCTTGAATTGGGAAGTGTTTTTCAAGTGATATGTACCGATAAGATTTTATCAGATAAAATCGGTGGCCTGAAATGCGGTAATAACCCCTTATCACATGACTCTGAGAACATAATAATGTAAGTTCAGCTAGGGTAAGATATCTTATGATTATATTCGGCTGTAAATATTGCACCGCGTATCCTTACTATACCTCTAATATTATAAATCGGAAAGTGAGTTTGTTTGTTTGTTCCGCTTTCACGCCGCAACTACTAAACCGATTGCTTTGAATTTTTGCAGACGTAAAGTTAGAAGTCTGGATTTAATAATAGGGTACTTTTTATCCCGGAAAAATTGTATATTCTCGAGGAAAAACGAAATCATTGGTATAGATGGCGCTGTGTGTATATATGCTACTTTTTATCCTTTTGTGATGCGAGCGAAGCCGCGGGTACTCCTTCGAAAAGTTCATAGGTATGCAAAATCATCGGATACTATGAACCAAAATTATAATGATTACTTATTCAGTTAAACAGTTATCGCAAGCTAGGTACATAAATAAATCGTTGTCACTTCAATCTGTCATGTAAATGAACAGCTTGCACTCAAAATGGCGTCGGTCATCAGAATTATACGCTGTGCAGAGGACACGTTTGTGGGTGAACAACGACTGCGTTTCTGCGGCTCAAGCCTCATGTGCGGGTGGTTGTATATTCGTATAGAGCTGGTGCAACCTATCTTGCTAATAACATTTTAAGTGTGGGAGAGCTATCATGTTTCGGTACGATTGAGCCGGCCGGAGTGACACCACGGTCACACAGAAAACCGAGTAAAACAACGTTTGCGTTGTGTTGCGTCCTGTAACTGAATTTACCGGAGGCCCAATAACCTCACCTCTCCAGTTCCCCAGTCCCCAAATCCCCCTCAATCCTCAAATTTCCAATTCCCAAAAGGCCGGTAACGCACTTGTAATGCATACTTTTCCATTTCGACGACGTAAAGTTTAAACGCTATAACGTAAAAGAGGTTTCGTAAGAGCCAATTATAGGACTACACATTTACAACATAGACACGTCAAAGATGACGCTAGCAAAGGGTCAGCCTTCTGTATTTGTCGACATCACAGCGACCAGGAAGCAGTGCTCTCACAAACCTGAACCTTTTCAACTGTGATGTCCTAAATACCAAACCAAAGGATAAAGAGACACCCTTTTCATAAGGAGGAGGTCAATTCCAAGAAATGATGATTGCTGACTGGTTACAAGTCTTGGAGAGTATTATCAGCTCTAAATATTCCCATGTCGCTAGCAGAGAAACACGTGAAACACGGAGTTCGCAATTACCTTCCGATACAGCTTTTGTTATCCCGCACCGGTGATTGAGCTCATTCAGCTTATCCTCTCGCTGTAACTCTGGTGGGGTAGTAGGACTTGAAGATAGGTAGAATGCGTATATATACATAAACAAAACAAGCGTGTTACTATGACAAATGGCGTTAAATAAAAACTATACTTTTAATGTAAAAATATTCATATTTTACGAAATAATGTTTAAGTATTTATACATGTTTAATTATAAAATACATAAAAAATCGTTCACTTCGGTAAAATCATTTCGGAATATTTTGTCCTCTTTGCGACTGTTTACTGAATAGTGTGAAGTAAAATATAGTTCAATAATGATTTTTGTAAACAAGACAATACATATTGAATTGGTTTGTTGAATTGAATAAAAGTGATATTATACACATACCTAAGAATATGTATAAAAATTGGTAGATAAAAAATTTTAAATTGGCATTTATTCATTTTCAAAAACATTCGTCATCGGTGTCGTCGTAGTCGTTGTCGTGGACAGATCACAGGACTGATTCCCATCAACACAAGTTTTGTCAAACTGTGCTAATGCCTTCTTGTCCGGATAAACTTCAGTTTGGTTACAATCAAAAGGTTTGAGGCAGCCCCTGGGTTGATTCTCTCCGAAAATAGTGCAAATTTTCTTTAGGTACAAAGTGTCATCAACTCCAAAAACTGTTCCCCTTGGTCCTATTTCCACTATGGGGGTTGTATCGACGCCAAGTTGGGAGAATTTTGCTGCTGCGGAACTTGCCATTGATCCACCTGATGCTACACATTGCTTGAACTTTTTAGGGTCTATTCCAGTTTCACAGAGACAGTATTCGCTTTGTTTTCCTGCGGAACATACAATTAAATGTCATTTATTTTCTTAAGCTTCATAATAAGTAGAATTTAATGAGAAGAATGTTTTATAAACCACTAGCGATTGTACTAGCGTACAATATGCATGTATTATACATACAAACCTTCCTTAAGAATCTCTCTATCTATTAAAAAAAACCGCATCAAAATCCGTTGCGTAGTTTTAAAGATCTAAGCATACATACGGACATACAGCGAAAGCGACTTTGTTTTATACTATGTATTGATTTTTTTCTCCAGGACGTTTAAAAAAGTTACTTTGTGATCCACAAATTATTGTTTTGGGTCTCGGTGGCACGTGTGAAATCCTAGCGTGGGGTCACTGTTAAAAAAAATAAGAAACATTCCAAAAGGGACCAAATTCGTGTGTGCCCAGGAGCCCCAGCCTAGTCTTTTTTTAAGGGGGAAAATCATCGAATTACTGCTCCCGGCTGGGTGAGGCGGGAGGCTGTGTGTGTCCTTCGCGATGGCTGGGTTGCGAGGAGGCAGCTCATCGCTGCCTCACGCGTCCCGCCTCCTCCTGCGGTAGGTGAGGACGCCGTAGCGTTCCTCAAGCCACTCCTCAAAGAGGGGACTTACCGCTGCAATGGCAGCGAGCCCAGCCCTCGGTTGCGACAGTCGTTGCTGCCATTCCGCCATGAGATCATGCCAGCCTTCCCAACCTAGTCTACGACGACCCTACTTGTGGGTCGTGGGACGTCCTGACGTGGTACACCGTGGATATTAAAAGTTAAAAATTACAGTTTCTTACCTTCAGCCTCGCACTTTAAATACTGCGCCTGTAGATATGTATTCGCTTTCAATTCCTTCAGAGCACACATTTGGGGCACACTATATCTACCGCTGCCAACCATGAAATAGTCCACATATATATCGCCCCCTATATTATCAATGATCCACGGAAATGTATATCTAAAAAACTTCTCGTCTTTATAAACATCCCCATAAATAGAAATGACATAAGCAGAGTAAGAATATTTCAAAATCGTTGCTAAAATGAAGATATATTTAATAGACAACATTTCAACCTGTTTTTGTTTGTAATTTTATTTGATATAGCCAACGGTTCGCATTTATATTGTAAATGGTGAAGTAATTATATTATGTATTTGTTGGTATTTAAAAATGTTTTTGCGACATGTTAAGTATTTTGTAGGCATACAATTATATTACGGGATAAGTGTTTAATTCGTCATTGTATATAAATGCTAGGAAGGCCCCTTTTTCTGTTGACGGGAGGGACTAACTTTCCTCCAAAAGGCGCGTGGCTTTTTGGGGAAAAAGACTAGGGAATGTGGGGGGCTTTTTACCTTACTAAAACCTTATAGTATTAACCATTTAAACCATTATTTGTAGAAATTAATATATTCATAAATCAACCATAAATTAGTGTATATTTTATCTCACCTCTGATAATCAATAACATAATATAATATAATAATAGTGATGAGTTTCTTTTTACAGGTATTATGTACAATTTCTAGATCTCATACATTCCCTGTAACAGTTGCGTCATATCTAACTAGAATGTATATTATGTACCATTAAAAAGAATAAGCATTGTAAATATGTGTGAAAGAATATCCACATAATTATTTTTATTACTTTTCATTTTATGTGAAATATTAGTGAAAATCTAATTTCTTACATACTTAATTTTTTTTCAAATTCTTTAGATTCTTTAAAATACATATGTATTTAGGAACTTTTTCTAAATGATTTCAAAGAAAAACTTGATGTTTTTATAATAACTATCGTGACACATACTAAATTAAGTAAAATCGCAGGTTACTCACGTGAATATACTGAGAAAAGCTCTACTAGTTTCGAACCACAGAGGGGTTCTTCCTCATGAGCAGCGTGCGCGGTCGCGGCGACGTCGCGCAGCTCACTGATGATCGAAACTAGTAGAGCTTTTCTCAGTATATTCACGTGAGTAACCCGCGATTTTACTTAAAAACTTGATGTTTCAAAGAAGTTATTGAATTTGTCGTGGTTGCCCGGAGGTTTAAGACGCCCGCTTCTTATGCATGAGGGTGCGAGTCCGAAATCTACCAATGTGACTTTTTCCGAGTTATATGTACTTTCTAAGATTATCTAAATACAACTGACAAACGGTGAAGGGAAAGATCATGAGAAAACATGGGCTTATAATTTCTAATAATTATAAATTTGAAATCGCCAACCCGCATTGAGCAAGCAAGGTGATTAATGCTCAAACCTTCTCCGTGTGAGAAGAGGCTTTGCTCAGCAGTGTGCAGTTATAGGCTGTTGATGTATTGAATTTGACTAATAGTTAAGGAACCTATTGAAGATTCCGAATTTTTAAAGAATAAAGCAGAAACTACAGATACACCCAATATTAAGCATCGTTTTTAAACTCGACTATTTTTAGAATAAAAATTGCAAAATTAGTGTGGCGCATTCAACGATTAACTATGTTGACTGACGTAGTGATGTTCCTACATGAAATAATAAATATCGATAATGACGATAAAATACTGAGTAATATAATCGGTTGACTGCCTCGTTGGCCGAGTGGTCGACAGTGTGCGGTTCGATTCCCGGGTTGGGCAAATTATTACTGAGTTTTTAAAAAATTATCAGTAATTAATAGCACACGGAGTCTGGAATTGTGGCCAGTATATGGCAATAGGCTCACCCCCTATTACATAGGACTCATAACATAAATAGTGAAAAGTCAGTGTTACATTGTACAATGGTATTGAGTGCCGTAATGTGCACCTCTGCCTACCCCTTCTGGGATAAAAGGCATGAAGTTGTTATGTAATATAATTGAATAACTTACTAGACTGTATTGTTGGCGGAGTATTCACAAGGAGGACAATTGTGTATAGTTTCGAGTTCGATGACTTACTTACATAAAATATTTGTAGGTTATGATTTATTTATAGATATCTTACAGGTTTTAAAACATCACTTTTTACGTCAATAATTTAAAAACTAAGTTAAATGAATCATCGTTATCTCAATGAAAAGTCTGAGAAGAAACACGAAAACAACACACAAACAACCTCTTCAAAATTCACCGCCACGGTGCTTATAGAGGTAAATACAAAAAAGTATCGATAAAAAGGATAGCTATCGACATCACTATTTTTGCGTGAAAGAGCGTTTGGCATTTGACCCAATCCCGAAGAGAACAATAATTTACATGCGCCTCCCACGGGGAGGGTTGCATCCCACCCCTGTTTCACCTAGTTTTTACCAGTTTACCCTTTTTAGACATTTTTTTTAATACTACATAATTAAAAATTGTTTATAAGCATTAGTTACTCTTAGTATTCGAGTGGACTTATTTGGTCAGTAGTTTGAGAATGCATTATAAAGATTATTTAAATTCCAAGTCATAACGTCACGCTCTTAATCATCGAATGCGAAGTAACGAACTTTGTGCCTATAGACCGAAACGTTACTCAATTTTAAGTCGCGCTTAGTATAGTTCTGTCAGTAGTTTCAGTATCCGGGCGTTAGCCAGCAATAATAAGAAATATATTCACCAATATTTCTCTAATAAATAATATGGCTGTCATTATTATAGTTCCAGTAATACTAATTAATAATTATTATTGAATAATTAACAGAACATTAGTTAATCACTTACATATTTATTATTACGTAGTATCTAGCTTTAATAAGTAAACACTAACGACATCTGTTGCATATATACAACATTATTGTTATTTAATAACAACATGACAAGTCCTAAAAACGTAGTCACATAAATCAAGTCCTACGAAATTAAAGACGACGACTAACGCCATCTAGTCTGTAACCGAAGTACTATAGTTGCTAACTAATGTTAACAGATGGCGTTGAATGTAATAGTAATTTGTACAGTAATTAGGATTTTATTTGTAGCAGGTGGGGTTTTTGGAAAGCCGTGAAACACTATAATCTGAAATTATCGAGTTTGTGTAGTAAAGTTGTGAATTGCAGGTCAGTCACGCACGAAAGTTTGCCTATAATTTTCATTGTGCTGCGTTTACTACGGTTTTGATCTTGACTGCCATAACGTTTCAGTGCCGTTTACTCTTGTATTATCGTTTGCATAATTTTCGTCTTAAATGATTGCTTAGTTAATTAATTAACATGTTCATCTTAAAGCACTTAGTGTCAGTTTTTTATTTCTTAATATTAGGTACTATCAGTAATCGATAAGTAGACATTATAGTTATAAAAAAATAAATCAACTAACATGAATCCATTAATTTTACAAAATCAATCATTCATTTATGTCACACAATTATTTTAGAAGCATTAGCAAAATGTGTTTATTTATGTGTACGAACTATCCTTAGCAATTCCGTTCTATTCTATCCAGTAATTTAGGCTATCGCACTCTCCTCATAGAACGCTCCACCGTCCTTGTGCGAGCCCATAATTTCCTTTTACGTCTATCTCTTTCATTTAATTCAACTCGAAATTACAAATAGCTTCTTAGGGCGTTCCCAAACGATTACATTTGAAACTTAAGGCTATTTCATACAATTTATGACGGGTCTGACTTTCGAAACTCGATTTAGGGAAGTTTTCAAAATAATCGGACAGATTTGTCGGCAGTTTTAATGTGGGGTCAACGGATTGGGGTTTGGTGTTAGTGGTCGCGTTGTTCTTTTAACTTAATGTCATTATTAACAGCCTGTAACAGATCATTATTGCATTATGTGTCTACTCTTCACATTTAAGGAGTTTGAAATGAAAACATATTAGCAATAAAACACACATTGCTGCAATAGTGCTACGATAACTGTAACAGGCGCTCGAATATAATCTATAGGATCAAAGAATTTAGCTTATCACGCTTAATAGTTACGTAGGTTTTTCTTGTGTACCACTAACAAAGTGGCCATATTTTTAAAAATAATTCCAATTGAATATTGCCAAATGTTCATACAGTATTGTTCCATTTTAATTTACACTTTATATGGATGTTTACGGACAATACGGCGAGATCGCTTCACCGAGACCGCGCACAAAGTAGGTGAGCAGTCCGCGGGACGACCTGTGCCTTGCAAAAATAGTTTCGCCCTAATAGGACATTGCCAAGAGTCACCAAGGCCCAATAATTTCCTTACTCAATAGATTGAGGCACGAAGACTGCACGCGCTCGCTCCGTACCTATGTCTGCCGGCGGAACGAAACCATAGCGCGATTCAGGAAAACGCCAATCTCGATCAACGCCATCTATCGAGCTATGGGACAACTTTGTGTGTTACTGTAAAACAAGTTTACATACTTCTCTATTAAAAAGCCAATTACAGTTGTGAATACAATTTTATACTTTATTTGACCCTGAAATTGAAATGGATCTTTGTATTTGACAAACTAAATAAACACAACCTCATAAATAAACTGTTGTAATTTTTAATCCTTAACAATGTGAACTCCTATTTTAAAAATCTTTCTGTCGTAATTTTTGGAAGAATGCAAATCTATTGCATCACTTCCTAACAACAGCATAATTATAATAATCTACAATGGGCCCTCAGATCCATGAAAGGAGGTACCAACACAATGGCAGGCGGGTTAAAGATCGTATCATAAAAGAATCTGTTTTATCAAACACTGCTGTATCTCGATCTATATTAAATGCACAAAGTATTCGAGCACAAAGTACTCGCAGAATGAGATATCGTTACACAAGCTAATATCAAACACAAAAGCATGCTTCAATTAGCTAGTTTCCTAGGTTTAAAATAAATTGTTTTAACTTTTCAATGCAATAAATAATTAAAAAATAATCACACTCTCATCCATTGATTTGACAATGTACCTACTTTTGGATTTTTTCTCGCTAAATTAAAGGAAATAAGTATGCTATTTGACGCAGAAATATGATGACGTCATAAGTTGCGATCCAATACAAAATTCATAGAAAAGTATCGTTTTTGACATTTCAATAAAAGTAGGTAATGAATTTGCATACCTGTCAACTAGCGTATTGAGCAATTGTCACTTTGTATCATTAGTATCAGAATGTTGCTCAAAATGCACGCTCATTTCAGGC